AAAAATAGATGTATTCAAAAATGCAAAAGGCAGGGGGTGCCTCCCCAAGTCGATCAACAATCGCCATTGACTTGATCCCTTCTTTAGACAGGCGAACTATTTCACCCGGAACAACTTCACGGAAGTACCTTGCACCTACAGACTGGAAACAACAGGATTCGGACGACACTACCCATCCTTCTGTTTCAATATCTACATCTTTTTCTGAAACATAAAATTGCTTGTGTAAATTTATACAAAGATAAACACATTCGTTAAGAAAACAATACCTTTCTTAAGGCTAATGTTGTAAATAGTTATTAAAATGAATATTTTCTATTTGTTACAAACCACCAGCGCTGACAATGTTAGGAAAATGCAAAATGCAAATAGGAAGCTTTCGATTGCACAACGACGGTAGGACGTAGAACGTAATGACGTCACTGAAAGTCATCTGCGCATGCGAGAACGTAAAGGTCACCTCGTTGAGCAGATTCTGGAACACATTTGGCCAAATCTACGTATGCAGAAAAGGTAGGATGCCAAGTAGGACGGTCACGCATGAGTCATTCTGTTCTAGCGTCGCGTCGTCACACAAATCGAGAGTTCCCTATTATCCTCACCATAGCCTAAATATTTTTTCATAAATTAGCTGCTTAAGCTGATGTAACAATTCTCAACATTCATAAATGCTGTTTGAAATTGTAAATATCCTGAATTCTCTTTGATTTGATTGGCTATTTGGTTAGATCACGCTTACCCTCTGCAGTTGCGCCACTGGTCAGCCGGCCAATACAGAGAGGCCTGTTTCCATATGGATCCCGAACTGCATACATAGAGCTTCCATGCATTATGAGCAGCGAGTATGCTGTGGGTGTTTTCTTCATCATCTGACGAATTCTGGCAGTCCAGTTCGGACCATTTGGCTCGCCTTCTGGTGGGGACGAGGTCAACAGCTGTGTAATGACCTCAGAATCAGAGCCAGTCGACAACCCAACACCATGTTCTAATACCTGTTAAAAATCATATTAAAGACTATCTTAATAAGTTGATGTGTTTATGTTCCTACAATTGAACATAAACTTACTTCTGATCTCCTTAATCTACAAAGTTGGCTTTCTTGT